GGGGGGGGCGACACTGTTCAGTGATTTGTAGACATAAATCAATATTTTGAATTGGATTCGAAAATGAAACCGTAACCAGTGCAGTGAGGCCAAAACTGGTGTAATGTGCTCTCTTTTGCCTGTACTGGTTAAAAATCGGGCTGCTGCATTCTGGACCAGTTGTAGTCGTGCAATGGAGGTCTGACTGATACCAAACAGGAGTGAATTGCAGTAATCAAGCCTAGATGTAATGAATGCATGTATTACTGTCTCCAGGTTATTTTTGGACTATATGGGCTTCAGTTTAGACAGCCGCCTCAGTTGGAAGAAACATGATTTAACAATCATGTTTACATGATTGTTAAGCTTCAGGGAAGGGTCCATTATCACGCCCAGATTAGTGACTCTTTGTTTTTCTGACAGGGTTAGAGTGGAGAGGTCGATACAATGGTTTATGATCGTGTCGTTGGGAGGGAACAACATGACTTCAGACTTCTTTTCATTGAAACTCAAGAAATTCAAAGCCATCCAGTCCCTGATGTCAGCCAGGCAGTTGAGCAGTGGTTGAATAGAGCATGTGCCATTGTGTCTTAGGGGGAAGTAAATTTGACAGTCATCGGCATAGAAGTGGAAGGGCATGTTATATTTCCAGAAAATAGCACCAAGCGGCAGCGGGTATAAAGAGAATAGGAGGGGACCCAGGATGGACCCCTGCGGAACCCCCCATTTAAGCTCTGCCTCTGCAGAACTAAAATCCTTGATGGAGACACAAAAGGATCTGTCAGCGAGGTAAGATCTGAACCAATTGAGGGCTGATCCTGTGACGCCCACCCACTGTTCTAACCTAGCAATGAGGATCTCATGGTTGATGGTGTCAAAGGCAGCTATGAGGTCCAACAGGACAAGCAGCACAGAATCACCGGTATCTGTGGATCTGAAGATGTTGTTAAAGACCTTCAGCAGGGCAGTTTCAGTGCTGTGGAGAGGTTTAAAGCCAGATTGGAAAAGCTCTAAGATGGCGTGATCCTCCAGGAAGCACTTCAACTGGGACTCGACTATTTTCTCCAGTACTTTAGAAACAAATGAGAGTTTGGAGACAGGCCGGTAGTTGGGAACAACTGAGGGGTCAAGGTTTGTTTTTTTCAGGAGAGGCTGGACAGCAGCATGTTTAAAGGATTTTGGCACCACACCAGTGGATAAACTACTGTTTACCATAGCCAGAATGGCCGGACCTAGAGTTGGAAAAACCTCCTTTAGTAGTCGAGGGGGGACCACATCAAAGGGGGAGCCAGAAGGTTTCAAGCTGCACATGACCTGCTCTAGAGAAGGTAGAGTGATGGGTTCAAAATGGTCAAAAGTAGCTACAGATTGAGGTGGGATGGATGGGTCATGAGTTGGAGGGGAAATGAGAGCCTGGGTGGTCGTAATTTTTTCCAAAAAGAAATGTAAGTTTTTGCACAGCTCAGTCGAGGCTTCCAGAGGTGATGGTTCAGTGAGGTGAAGAACAGAGTTTAGGGTGGAGAAGAGGACACGTGGGTTGTGAGAAATTGAGGTAATTATATCAGAGAAGTATTTGGATTTAGCAGCTTTCACTGCTTTCTGATAACGGCACCAACTCTCTTTAAGTATTTGAAAAGAGACCTGCAGCCTGTCTTTCCTCCACTTTCGCTCCACCCTCCTACATTGCTGCCTAACGGCCTTAGTGACGTCACTCAGCCAAGGTTCTGCTCTGAGTGTTGCTTTTTTGGTTTTAACAGGCGCAACATGATCCAGAGTCTTTAAGCAGACAGAGTTGAACTGGGATGTCATCTCCTCAGTGGTGGTGAGAAACACTGGGGGCTGAATTATCATTTCAGAGTTATAAACATCTATGAAACGTGTGGCAGTGAAGTGGTTAATGGTCCGGGTGCGACGTGCAGGAATGCACGACTTAGGAGTTAGATGGGGGAGGGTGAACTCAAACCGGACTGGCATGTGGTCTGAAAAAACATTATCACCAATAACAAGATTATTAACAGTCATATCATGAGTTAAAACAAGGTCCAATGTATGTCTGCGCGCTTGGGTGGGACCGTTTACATGCTGAGTTAGATTAAATGAGTCCAATAAATCTAAAAAGTCCTTAACCAAGGGCTTCTCTGAATAGCACACGTGCAAATTAAAGTCCCCAGTAATGAAAACATGCTCATATTTTGGTGTGATTTCAGCCAAGAAGTCAGAAAACCCATTTATGAAATCCTTAGATCGAGGTGGGCAGTAGACGAGTGCAAATAAAGTCTGAGGTGAATGTCCGAGTTCAAAGATGCTCAGCTCAAAGCTGGCATGGGAAACTGGGATGGGCAGGTGTTTACAGTCAAAAGTTGATTTGAATATTGTTAATAATCCACCACCGTGCCGGCCTGATGGCCGCGGTGCATTAAAGTACAGACAGTTCAGTGGCAGTAATTCCGTCAAGGTGCTGGACTCACCCAGAGACATCCAAGTCTCTGTGATGCACAGAAAGTCTAACTTGAGCTCTTGAAAATAGTCCCTGAGGATAAAAGTTTTCTTGGTAACAGATCTTGCGTTGACCAAACACATCCGGATACTGTCCAAAGTGGAGCCAGTAGCGGTTGAGTTAGCGCATGCTAATGGTCGCAGATTTTCAATAACAGCCCCTTCAGGTCGGCCCGAGCTGCGCACCGGCTGACAACTCCCGTTGGTTACCTGGTCCGGGCGCACAGGAAGCTGGCGATGGAAACCATGACCGCCAGCTGGAGAGGAAGATGCAGAGCGCAGAGCTTTAAGCTTCACCAGATGACCAGCACGTTTTCCCCGGAGTCTGAAGCGATATCTCCGGACATGGAGGTGAAGAGCCCAGCGGAGGTAAACTGGCATGTCCGCCAGAAGGGGGGGGGGGGGGGGGGGGGGGGTCCCAGAGGTATGCTCATATTGTTCCAAATAAGTGACATTGGTGACAGAAAAACGAAGATCCAAAAGTTGTTGTCTGTCATACACCAACAGAGAGTTGATGTCACAGATGAGAAATGCAAAAAAAAAAAAAATCCAAACACCATCAGCAGAGGTGGATTGCAAGCCATGTACACAGGCGCCATCTTACCGGAAGTTTTTAGAAGAGAAGACAGGCTTTGGGCGAGCCGATTTACCCTGTTGGCATGTACGCAGCTGGATATCTCATCGACTGGAAAACTTGATGATGTGTCTATCTCTTCTGTCATCTGTGGATTTTAAGGACACATATTTAATTGGATTTTCGATAACTGGGTCCTGCTTTTTGGATTCAGCTGGTGCTGGTTTTATCTACAATCAAGGAAGTCGTCAGCAGCAAATTTGGACCCGATCAGGCTGCTTGCCGTTATGATGGCTTGGTTCATGTCTGGAGTACCCGGACTCAAATGCTTTGGGCTGAATGGATCAGATCTCAGGGATTTTTACTCGGACACGTTTCCATCAGTGTGGCCATGTTAATTTGGAAATTTCGGAACCAAGTAGACCGACACAGACTGAAGGTTGATGTCATTAAGTTCTGCCTGTCCCCAAAACAACTGTGTGTTTATCTAAATTTTGGTCGCCTTGGCTGTCCTTGAAGGCCATCTTATCTAAAGTCGCCTGGAGAGAACGTGATCTGACACTCACCACCCCCTCCCTGAGGAATTTCCAACTGATAACCAGATGAAACCCCGCTGAAAAACTTTGTGTCATAATTTCAGGACTCTGGATTCTATAGAGGTTATCCTTGGCCATTTCTCGGCATACCTCGAGAATGTTTATGGATCTCACCGGAGGACATTGACTGATTACAGTGACCTTGAGAGCATCTATAAGTGTTGTTGACCGCTCTCGTCTCTGATTGCAGAATGTCTACGTAAATATGTGCTTGTTTGTGCGAGGTGTTTTTTCAATA